CATAAAGAAGCATCTCAACGCAAAGAAAAGTTTTTGGGCCAACGAACAGGATGGCGTGCTTTGGTCTCATCGCACAACTCCCCGAACAGCGATCGACAAGACTTCTTTCTCGCTCGCTTACGGATGCATGGCAATGATTCCCGCAAAAATTAACGTCGGCACCCTATAACGCAGAGTACTCCCGGACATCCCTGCCGTGAATGCAACGATGCTGGTCGACAATCTTGACACGTTCGAAGAAACGCGCAACCAAGATTTGCTCAGAATGCAGAACTACCAAAACCAGGCAACTCAGTGCTACAACAAAAAGGTGCAAATTCGACATTTCGACAAAGGCGACCTCGTTCTTCGAAAAGTTTACGAAAACACCAAGGAAGACAATGCAGGAAAGCTCGGAGCTAACTGGGAAGGTCCTTACATCATCACGAACATAGTCAAGCCGGGTGTTTATCGGCTCAAAGCAATGGACGGGCAATGGACGGTGAATTGGTCCCGCGGGCTTGGAACTCTCTAAATCTTAAATGGTACTACAGCTAGATAGGCATCTTCCTCAGGTCGGTATAAAAAAAAGAAAAATGAATAATACCTATGAACTACGAAGCGGTTTGATCCCCGAAAGGTGTACATATGCAGCCTATCTTCGGAAGGCGCAACTGCTCCCCCTCTTAAAACGGGGGGGGGGGGGGGGGGGGGGGGGGGGGGGGGGGGGGGGGGGGGGGGGGGGGGGGGGGGGGGGGGGGGGGGAGACTCCGAATATTTTTTAGCTTTCCGAGCCATTTGGTTTGTAAATCTTTACTCTCTACTATGATTCAATGAAAAACCAAAATTTTCCCCCAAATATCTTTTCAATTTCACATCGGCAACCTGGCCAGATGCTCGATTCGCCTAAAGCTAAAGTCTGATCCACTTTAGCTCGGCAACTTAAAAGCCAAGTCCGTCTTGCATCATACAGTTTAACCTGTCTCAGTCGATCCAAGTCATGCGTAATTATCAGCCAAGCTAGTCTTGCACCCGCATTCGACTCGGATATTTCTAAGTTGTACTAATAGAAAAACACTGATCCAATTCATATATAAGAATTCACACTTAGAAATTAAGTGGTACAAACAAAAGTAAGCCGAGCCTCTCGCACGTTTGTATTCATACTTCTCTCCTAAGCCAGAATCTGCTCTGCACTTCTTAAGTCATGCAAAACTACGAAAAAGAACTCCAGCTCAGGAACCTCGAGCTCACCAGCCGAGAAACTAACCTCCTCAAAGGCTTTTTGTTCGGTTTTGCTTTCAGCAATCTTCCCCGCCACATTAACATCAATGAGAGGTTGGAATTCATAGCCCTGCTTCCGGACGATCCTGAGTGCCCTCTGTGCGCCGACCTATTGTGCGCGAAATCAACTCCTCGGCCTTCTCCCTTCAGGCCAAAGATTCTTTAACTTTGCCAACTAAGTTGGCGTAGTGGCCGTTTACTTTGAAGGCTGCACGTTTTTCCATCTCTTGGCCAAAGGCAACCTTTTCTTGTTCGCCCAATTTCTTCTCGGCCTTAAGCTTACTCTCAGCGGCGGCCCTCTCCTTTGTTATCTGCTTTACAGCCCGTCCAAGAAGCCTGTTCTTCTCAGGGATATCTGCATGAGCCTGTGCCAGATTCTCCGAGGATTCCCTGAGTTTGGCTTCGAGTTCAGAGCTCATTTGCTTCTCGGCTTCGAGAGCCTCCTTGATGGCTTCTCTCTCGGACTGGTCGGTCAGACACCTCTTGGCGGCGTCACGATTATACTCGCACATCACAGTTAGTGCGGTACTAAGGGCCTGCATGAAAACAGGGTCGATCGTCAGAACCGATATAGTACTTCTATTAACTGGAGAAGCAGAGTGTTTATGATATCTTACCTTAGCCTAATCGGCTGTGAAGCATGCAATCGCCTTGCTGCAAATTAAGCCTCGGGGGGTCGGTTGGTGGAAGAGATGGATGATCCCTTAATCGAAGAAAGAAGTCCAGACAAGATTCAGGATCGCTCACCAATGGACCACTTCCTTGATAGTCGTATGAAAATTCAAACGGGCGCAGCTCCCACTCAACGCGAAGCCTCTTTGACCTCTGCGAGTCCTCGGGTATTTCCTCCGGACCCCTTTTGTTTGAGCTACCGGGACCGCCTTCCCCACTGGTCCGTCTGCTCTGACCTCTTCACCCTACGCATCATCGGTTCTACGCTCTGCTAGCTCGGATTTCTTTCGAGCTTTCTCCGCCTATTTCGCAGCCCTCTTATCGGCTGCCTTCTTAGCCTTGGCCGTATCCTTCTCGGCTGCCTTTCTAGCTTTGTCCGGGTCGTTCTCGGCACCGTCCCTCGAGGAAGTCAGCTCCTGACACAGTCATGTTGACGCGGTCTCGGCTCCTTTAGCACTCAGAGATCCAAGAGCCGATTCTAGGTCGGCAGAAAGGTCCTTAAATGAAAGAAATTTCATTTTTTTCTGGTTAGTTTTGGAACTGTCTCGTCCTTCTTCCTCTTGATCTTCTTAATGGGAGGGTTCAGTTCATGATCCCGAACTGATTTGCCTCGTCTGCCATGATGAGCGTATTCAATTCATCCGAGATATCCATCTCGTTCGAACCCCCATTCGCGTCTAAATCATCCCGCAGTTGCGGTATTAGAAATGGCTCCCACGAAGATGCTTCTATGCCCATCAGAACAGCCCCGACCTGGTCGGCGTGAAAACACTCGGTCGCCACCCTTTGGTTTTCTTCTCTGACCCGTTCCTGGTAGCCCTGATCTAGTGCGGATAAGTCGCTCGCGTCTGAAGACCGATCTGAATCTGGCTCTTCGATGACGACCTGCTTTCTCTTTGATTGGCCTCTCACGGCCTGGTCGTCTCTGGACATTTGAAAAAATTCTTCCAGAGAAACGCCAATCTCGTCGGTTCTCGCTCGAGCCGACCTGTCCTTCCCTGATTCAGATCGGCCCTCTCTGATGCTCAAAATTTTACCCATCGCAAGTCGAAGCTTTGATGGCGACTTCAAACAAATCTGAGAAATCACGACGGTGGAGATTTGAACGAAACGAGGCGGAGGTTTAATCAGAATTTTTTTAAAAAATAAAGAACAACAAGAGAGAGAAGAGAGCAAACCTTTTGACAGAGTTTCGCTGAAATACAGAAGTGAAAATTTATGAGCCGAACCCCCCCCCCCCCCCTTATTTATACAGAAATGAGGACGGTTATCGAGGGTCATCATGAGTTTGGCGACCTTTCGCGTTTCTTCTCATTTTATTTTAATCGGCCTCTTTGCTTTCCTCCTCTAGTGTTTGACACGTGTCGAACCTAGTTTTGCATGCGCAGACCTATGCTTAGTCTACACTGCTTTGGCAGGAACTTTTGGCGGGAAATTTAGGCGGGAGTTTTTCGCACCCAAATTCACCATCTGGCCTTCGTCATCGTGCTGATCTAAACTCAAGTTAAATTATGTTTTATTTTCTAATTTTTGGCTAAATAAATAGAAATCTTCCACTGAATCCGGAATAAACGAAGGTTAGCCTTATCGGTAGGAAGAATTTCCTATTTCGGATATACATAGAAGACCGACCTGATCGGCTATAAATAGAGGGGGTCCTCGACTTCTCAAATCATCCAAAAATCCTTTCTCAAGACCTAGGACAAACTAGGCAATCTTGTTGTTCTTAGCTCTCGATTTTATTGCCATGAAGTTTAGATCGGCGTTCCTATTCCGACGATCTAAACATCCGTATATCTTTCAAACTCTGACTTATTCATAATAAAAGATTTCTCTTTATCCCACAAACTCTTGTTCAGTCTTTAGATCGAATTTGAGTTATCACATTCAGTTGTAGTCATATGTTTGATAAGTTATTTTATTTTTATTTAAAAATTTGTTTTAAATTAAGTATAAAGAAAACTTATAGTTGTTAAGTTTAATTATTTATGAAACTTAGTTAAAACAAAAATAATTTTACTAACATTTTAAAATTTAGTGATCAACATTAAGTTTATATATAAATATTAAGTTTTAGATTCACAATTAATTTTTACATATATCAAATCAGTAAATTATTAAATTAAATCATAAAATATTGTTGAATAAATTAAAATATTTTTAATGTATAACCACATCAAAACAATATTAAAAATTAAATATTATATTTAAAATATTAATTTATTAATAATCAAATATTTATAAAATATAATCAGCGCTTAGTATAAAACATTTTTAATATTTTAATTAATAAAATAGACTATTTGGGACTTTTGATGTGTCAGCAAAAAACCAGCCTCAAATCGATGACATGTCAATATTGAAACGTCAATATTAACACGTCAGCATTATTCAAGTTTTTTCTAAATATTTTATTACGTAAAATGTCATATATTTGCACATTTAAAATGATTCACGGGCCGCATATATAAAAATCCACTATTAATAAAGCTTATAACAAAATAACACAAAATAAATAATTATATTCCGTTAGACGAAAAATATAAAAACTCACACTATGAAAACGACACACACATCCACAATACAAACTAGAAAAACCTTCTTCTCAAATCTCCTCCTAGCCGTATCATGTTGATTACAATCCAGAAAAAATTATCGATCCCTCTCCGTTTCAAAAATATCTAATCCACTTCTGCCAATTACCAATTCATCATTCATTAATCAAATCATTCTAAAATTTCTCTCCACTATGCCAATTTATTGTCCACTACATTCATAAATATGGCTATATATGATCGTCTACCACCACCATACCATCTCACCATCTTTATCGCCCATAGGAAATTTTTTAAAACAACATGTCACCACCAGCCTTTTCGAAGACTATTGGGTTATAGTGTTATATTAGGCTTTATGACGGCTTGTATAACTTAAGCGTCAAGTCTGTTTAGAGATACTAGGGTTTATTGTCTTTGTATATATATACTTTGTATCGTCGCTTTCAGATCAATACAAATAACATATTCTCTTATTCTACATGGTATCAGAGCAAAAAATCCTGAAACCTAATTAGTTTTCTCAGTTTTAATCAGTTGATCTCTGTTTTTTTTCTTCTCGAGCTCGAACTTCGTTTCTCGTTCGAACTCTCTCTTTTGTTCGTTTCTTTTTTTTTTATTCAGTTGAATCGTTTTTGTTTTAGTTGAATCGTTTAACTATGTCCGGTATCACTGATTCATCCTCAAGCATGGCTGTTGCTGATTGCATTGGAGACATCACGGTGGTTACTCCATATTCTTTGTTCCCTTCCGACAATCACGGTGATCACTTTGGTTCTTCTCACTGGAGAGAATTACAATGAATGGGATTCTGAGATGCTCAATGCTCTTCAAGCAAAGAAGAAAACATGATTCATTGATGGTACGATGCCAAAACCTCCATCTACTAGTTCCGACTTGGAGACTTTGGTGAATTCCATGGTTATTGGGTGGTTATGCAGGTCTATAACTCCTCGTGTTTGCTCCACTGTTTCTTTTCTCACAAACGCACATGAGTTGTGGCCAAATTTGAAGAAGAGATTTTCTGTTGGTAATAAGGTTCGTCTGCATCATCTCCGCGCATAGATTGCTGCTTGTCGCCAGGACGGACAGCCCGTGATTGATTATTATGGAAAACTTCAAGCAATGTGGGATGAACTGTACATCTACAAAACAATCCCTCTTTGCTCGTGTGGTGCAGCAAATATTCTTGCAAGAGACAGGGAGGAGGAAAACATGCATCAATTTGTCATGGGATTGGATGAATTTTTTCGAATGTTATTCATTCTATTGTTGATGCCGAACCGTGCCCTGATCTGGCCCAAGTTTATTCACGTATGATCAGGGAAGAACAGAGGCTTAGCTCGGACCAATCACTAATAGCCCTTTTTTTGACCTGTTATACAAATAAAGGAAAAAGAATATTACAATCTCGAAAATAGACCAATACATATAACTTCTTCAATCAATTTAGAAATCTCTAAAAAAATCACAAATCTTTGGAAAATCTCTAAAAAGTTTCAAATCACGGAAAAATCTCTACAGTAACATAAATATTTATTGAATGTTTCGAACTTTCCTAACCAACCTAATAAACGGAACTAATGAATTTACCAGAATAAATTAATGTATTGGATTACATGTCCTACACTACCATGGGAAACCTCTCGAAAAATGTGAATTTTCTGTTTTGTAAGTGATCTCAACCAACATATATGAATTATCTTCTTTATTAATAGAAATGCAGTCTACAATGAATATATAAACTATAATATACTGAGTTGATATTGGGCACTGGATAACCCGATTTGAAGGACCCAAAGTTGAATGACTAATCAAGACAATAAATCCCGACACATATTCTGGCTACACGACGATTCAAAACATGCTTTCTAAATACATGAACCGCTGGATTGAAGTATCGGCCATGTGCTCAAATGATACAATCACCCAAAAATCATAAGGAGAAGACAGACCCAAAATTCAAACTTTTGAAGAAAAGAAAAAAAAAACAAAATTCAACTAACACGGAAGAGTGAAACTTTTTTCATTGATTCCAACAATTACCTGAGGTTATATAAACTTTTGGACAGTCTTGGGTGCTAATATAACATCTTTAAATGCATCCTAAGGAGAACCACAAATTACACAATCAATCTTTAAACATAATCACCATCAACGTTTCTAATCTTAGAAAACAAATGAAATTTGAGAAGATGCAAATCTATTAAAGTGTGATCTGATTTCATAGGCGAATTCTAAAAGATAAAAGAAGCCATCACCTTCGATAGTCATCCATGACGATGAATGAAAATTCTCTCAAGAACAGCGTTCGACTGTGCAAAGGCCAACGAGCAATGATCGGACTATTTCCAGACTGAATGGTATCAATAATCGATGCGGTGGAAGTTTTTTCTAAAAAAGATCATACTGTCGGAAGTGGATTTATGTGTATCAAAGAGGCTAGATGTGAATCTGTATATAAAAATAGAAAGATGAGTTTGCAGCGACGGAGGAGTAGAAAGAGTAGGATAAAGAGCTTGATTTGCATGTGTTTTCTGGGTTTTTTTCCAAATCGATCGATCTCATCCCTCTCCATTTCGTTAGGCGACTCAGCAAATTAATTGCTCAGACCAATCCAATGCAGATCTATAGGCGTCTAATGATATGTTCTTAATATAATTGTATTAAAAAATTATATAGAGTATCTAATATTTTAGATAAGGGTCTAAAATAGAATCTCTTTTTTAGTTTAAGAACACACAGCTGGCAAAACATGAATAGAAAAAAAAGTTAACACAGAAAATGAAAAAAAAACAAAATCTACTAAATATTATTAATTAATCACTAAGACACCTATACTAATAATGTTACCATTGTGATTGCTCTCATGGGTTAAAAATTATTGTTGGATATGGGTCTTATTTTTATTAAATTTTGTACATGAGTGAAATACCAACATTTCTGATTTCATAATCAAATATTGTTATAAATTATTCATTATATAAGATGTGATATGTGTTTGATGTGTATATATATATGTATTATAAATATATTTTAAATAAAAGATGGAGAGGAGACGTGAGTGGGAAGAGGATGGAAGAGAGAAGAGATGAAGTTCACTTCTCATTCATATCGATAGTGTTACAACAAGGCCCCTATTTATAGTAAACATTTGCTTAGTTTAGTAAATAATCTTTAATCAATAAGGACAAAAATAGTGGATAATCATTATCCATTCAACACTCCCTCTTGATTATCCATCACTAATGATATATTACGTACTGCCTCGTTAAAAACCTTATCATGGAAAAACCCGTTTGGGATAAAAACCATGATGAGGAAAAAAGAGTGCAGTAATACTTCCCCTCGAAATAATGGATATAATCTTTTCTTTAAAGATCTCGTAAGTGATGCATTCTGATGCTGTGAACATGTTTTCTGAATGTTGTAGTAGGAAGCGCCTTTGTAGATAGATCTGCTGCGTTGTCGCATGAACGAACATATTGAATATCCACTTCCTAATTTTTCTCGAGCTCCTTTGTGTAAGAGAAAAACCTTGGAGGAATATGTTTCGTTCGATCACTTTTGATATAACCTTCCTTAAGTTGAGCGACACATGCAGCATTATCTTCAAATACTTTTGTTGACTCTTTCTTTGTTTTTATACCGCTTGCATCTTGTATATGATGAATGATTGATTTGAGCCACACGCATTCCCTACAAGCTTCATGTAATGCAATAGTTTCTGCATAATTTGAAGATGTTGCAACCAAAGTTTGCTTTTGGGAACGCCAAGAGATCGAAGTTCCTCCGATTGTAAAAACATATCCGGTTTGTGATCTAGCCTTATGCGAATCCGATAAATATCTTGCATCTGCAAAACCAACCATACCAAACTCGGGGTTTCTTGAATAAAATAAACCAAATTCAATGGTACCTTGTAAATAACAGAATATATGTTTTATTCCGTTCCAATGTCGGCGTGTAGGAGATGAGTTGTATCTTGCAAGTAAATTAGTAGCAAAAGCTATATCAGGTCTAGTATAATTTGCAAGATACATAAGCCCACCGATAGCGCTCATATAAGGTACTTCATGACCTAATATTTCTTCGTTATCATCACATGGCCGAAATGGATCTTTATCAACATCGAGCGATCTATTGACCATCTGTGTTGATGGTGATTGGATTTTAACACCGGCTATTCACTAAAGGGGGAACACAAAAACTGGTTTAATTATTTCACCTTCGTCCATTGTTGATGAAAATTTGGCTGACGTGAATGATCATCACGATTAAACTATTTCATCTATTGTGGCTATCGAAGCTTCCGACAACGATGTTGATAACGTTGATGTTGATGAAGATAACGTTGATGTTGTTGAAGCAGTTCCTTCGGCTGTTTTACATGAAGATTCTCCTACTATTGAAGACTTGGGCAGAGGTCATAGTGTTGAACCAGAAAATCACCACTGGGGTTTTGATTTTCGGTTATGGGTTTTAGAGAATATCAAATTGGAGCTCGGAGATTAGGTCATCGAAAAGATGAACCACTTGAAGTTTTTATCAAGTTATAGCTGGACCTTTAAGAAAGGCTGCCTACGTACCCTTACAAAGGGATCAAGCCATTCTAAGTTCGTTTGCGAAGTGTTTAGGCAGAAGAAATCTAGAGAGAATTAGGCTTTCTCTTTAGGTCGCGAATTTTTGGGTGGTTGCTTCGGATGGGAGTTCTTTCCCATTTTCTCATAATCTTTAACTTATGAGGAGCTCTCTATTTATAAGAAGGCGAGGTCGGTTCCTTTGACTTCGATACCCTTTTTGATTTAAGAATATTTCTCATTTTCCGTTTAGGAAAAGTTCTTCTTTTCCTTATTCTTCGGAAGTGTGCCATTATCTTTAAAGATTCTTCCTTAATCCACAAGTCAATGTGATTTTCCTTATCTCGATGGGTTGAGTTATTGCTAGAGAAAGCCTTTTAGGAAATATGTTCATTTTCCCTCTAACAGTAAGTCCCCCCCCAGTTCGGCGAGACTGATTGCAAATCAGGTCGGCGGACTTCATCAAGTAAAATTGGTTTGATCTTGCAATAAGCGCCAGCTCGTCGAGAGTGTCTTCCATAATTCGAGTTGACCTGTTAAGGATAATTCTTCAAGAAAATCGTTGCTGGTTTTAATTTACATTGCACTTCGGCGACCTTGACTTCACGTTGCACTTCGGCGATTCACATCGCACTTCAGCGGATGCAGAGAGTTGTATTTTATTGAATAAAGATTTCTTCCTTTTTTTAATGCAGCGCTGCTTCGGCGAAAATGCTTTTTGCATTGAAGTTTATGCAACTGATTTTAGATGATTAAACCAGATAGAATGCTAATTTTATCAAACGAAGTGATAAATTTATCTACTCGACTTAGATAAATCAATCAATCGAAGTGATAGTGTGGCGATGCTTTTCAAAGCGTGTAATGGTCTTTTAAATACATAATGCTTAAACGCTCGTTGACTTGGTGATCTTTAACTTTGAAGGATTTGCGAAGTCGACTTTTCGACTGCGATGCGAGGTATTCTTTAGGCCGGTGCTGGAGGCGAGATTTATTTGCTCATCTTATACCAAACGACAACGAGATCGAATACCAAGCTTTCAGGATTCACTTCGGCCCGAAAGATATGATCAAGGATCGTGCGAGTATTATCCTCGGCTTTCATCTTATCCACTTCGGAAGTACTTAAATCAGGCTGAAGTATCAAAGGAGTGGTGATCAGCCACTAATTTAATTTTTGCTTTTTGCTTTCTCGAATCGAATGTTTGACCAGAAGATCGATTCAACAAGATGCATTCATATAAGGGAAGATTGTTTTATGTGTCGAGCTTGTTAAGAGTTTGAGCATTCTCTAGTTCAGCAGTGTGAACATCTTTTTGCTTTTTACTTGTCGTAATTCTCACTTTTGGAGCTTCTTTTGTTCCACCGTACGTGTAGTGGTCTCATTCGAGAAGAGATTGCAGAGTGAATTTTTCTTTATGCGAGACTTAAAGCTCGGCTTTGAATGATGCTTGCATGATGGAAGCGTACTTCGGCTTATTGTTTCTTGGTGCTTTGGGAGTTTATGTACGAGCTGGTGTTGTTGACTTGCTGTTGCACAAGGTTTTGACGAAAAACTCATTTTTGACGGACTTCGGCCGGATCGTCGAATTGAAAGAGCGAGGGAATCAAACGTTGTGTTTCTTTCATCACAAGTTTGTCACTGTGTTTTTTTTTGTAGAGCTTGAGAGCTTGTAGGAGAGGTCGTCGTTCATTTTTTGTTTCCTATGTTTGTCGTTTTTGACGCCACGAGAGAAGCTGCACATCCGATTATGCCTTGAGATTGTGACGTTTCTTCAAGAAGCCATAAGAAAGACAATAAAAGTCTTGATTTGGTTTTTCTGTGAACTTGCAGTCCAGTAGCTTGTCGAAGCTCTCGAGGTCATCTTGAGGGTTTGCTTGAGGCTGATAGAGTATAAGCTAGAAGTTCTTAATCTTTGATATGTCTGGAAGCCATTGACGAAGCTTGGCGAAGAAAGAGTTGTGAAGTCTTATTTTTTGTGCAAGGACAGATTGACGAGCTCGTTTGATGAACAGCAGAACCTCGACAGATATGTCAATGCTTTATACTGCATCATGTAGCTTCAAAAAGATGTGAATAGATTGACAATTCACCGTTAGTTTTGCAATCCCACCGTTGATTATAGAGTTCGACATGCCACCGTACAGTAGACCAAATTTCAGCTTGATCAGAAGTGATTTATGCCCCTCACGTTCTTCGGAAGATGATGGTTGAGAGTGGTTTTCTCAAATTGCAGTGATTTTGTGTCGACATGCGAGCTGATTTGCGGTTCGTGTATACGTTAGAATAGGTAACGGAAAGAAGATCTGAATTGCTGATAGCAAGAGCTTTGCAACAGTTTATAGATCGTCTTCTGGATCCTTCTGAGTCTTCTGGAAATTTCCCCGGAAAACCTCTTCTTTTTGGTTTCTGGAAGTCGTAGGTTTTTATGATTTTTTGTGATATTGCAAAGCGATATGTAGATGGAGTTTAACTCCGACTGATACGTCGTAAGCTCCTACAGATTCTATGCAAAGAGATCTTTCTATATATGCTTTGTAAGCAATCTGAATCTTCTTGGTTGTTCGAGAATTCTCCTCCGAAGATCATTACTTGCACTGTTTTTCTGGGTTGTAGATTGCAGGTTTTAGCTCGTTGTCTTTAGACTATTGGATTGATGGTAGTTACACCAGTACGTTATTTGTACTTAACCAGCGTATCCTTTGCTGTTTGTGAGTTACCGATAGCATCCTCTAAGCTGTTTTTCTTTTTCTTCTTTTTTAATTAGCTTTGTTCAGTCTGTTTGAGACTAGGTCGGTATGTTGTATTAACGAACTGACAGAGCGACGTGTTCATGCTGGCAAGCTCAAGTTGATAAACTTTTAAGCTGAAGTTGGAGATATTAGTTGGCTTGGTAGTAAAGCGAGTGTCTTCTGATCACGTTGGAATTTTTCTTTGTCTTATAAGGTTATCTCTGTAACCGTTGTATCCCCCATCGTTCTCTTAGGTAAGCGACCTTCCTTCTCTTTTTTTTTTTGCTTGTAGTCTTCTATTAAGCACCATCACGTCTTCTTGACATCTCTGACGTGAATCTTCTCAGCATAAATCTTCTTTTAAGCGAGATTCGGATCTCGGCTTTTAAATGTTCAAGGCTTACAATGCTCGCTTTATGGAGGCTTACGATGCTCATCTTAGACTGTGCGAGGTTCGAAGCTCGGCTTATTAGAGGGTTGCGAGCTTGTGTGGTGAGCTCGTCACCGTTTTTTTTAAGAGCTTTTTTGACTCTCTTGCTCTAAGTCTCGTATCTCGTTTGATAATTTTGATCCTTAGTCGAGCTTGTCACATGACGTCTTTGTCGGAGATGATATCGTCATAGCGTTT